CAGGCAATTAGGTTTGTGCTTCTGATCATATAGTGAACATATTAGGTCAACAAAACTTGACAAAATCCAAAGCATTCAATGATTTCAATCCTTGATTTTGTAAGATCTTTTTTGAATCTTTTTTCATGTGTATTTGGTTCAATCATGCTCCAATCAACCAAATCTTGCCATAATTGACTAAGCACGAGATATTGAGAGTAGAATGTGCATAAAAAGATTTTTTAGGTCAAGCTTTATATTTTTCATGTATTAAAATAATTTAAATGAATTAATATTAATATAAATTCAAATAAATAATTAAAAAATGAGAAAATACTTCCCTTTGGGCCTAATGGTCGTGCATAGGCTTGGCATGAAGAAACTTGGAAGAAAAATGGGCCCATTTGCATTTTTGGATCATTTGAAGTAAAGTTGACTTTCAAAAATTTCCAAAAATTTCCCAACTTCCACAAGGCATAACTTGCTCAATTTTCAAGCTTTTCACATGTTCTTGGACATTTTGGAAAGGTCTTTGAGTCCTTTAACCAATGCCTTTGGTCCCATGTCATTTTGATTTACCAATCTCAAGTTATGGCCTTTGACTTAAAGTCCCTTTTTGTTGACTTTTGAAAATGACCTATAATGTTGAAATTGATAACTTTTTGTGAGAGCATTTCTTGGACTTGGAATATGAAGATGAATTGTAGGAAATGTCTTTCTCTTCAAAATGAGCTTTGGATGGAATTTTTTTGATAATCCATGTGAAAGTTATGCCCTGATCAATTTCAGTTGACTTTTTCAGCTGTCCAAATATAGTAACTTTTGCATCTTTGATGATTTCTGAGCCAAATTTAGAGAATCATGATCAAGCATTGATCAAATGATGTTTGTGGCTTCAAAATGATATGTTGACCAAAAATTTGAACTTTTGACTGTCAAATGACCATTTTGCCCCTACAGTTGACTGTAGTGCAATCTAGGGTTTTGACTGTGCAATTTTGAGCTGAATGCCTTGAAACTTGATATGAGGATACTTGACCATGTTTATAGGCATATGAGACTTGGTTGGGCCTTTTAAAACTTTCAATTCTTGATCAGAACCCAAACCCTAGTTTTGACTGTATAGGAGACAGTTGAACTGCACAACCCTTGGGGAATTTTGTGACCTTGACTTGACAAATCTTGGAGAATATGGGAGGGCAAATTTTGGGGTACAACACACGGCCTACGTCGGCAACCCAGATAGCTTGTTTATTTTGCCGTATAACACTGTTCCAGTGGGGTGAGTTTTTCATTTATTCTAATATATCTTTGTTTATTTTGCGTAGAAACTTTTCTTCTAAACTGTTGCTTAAATTTTTAGAAAACACTGGTTGTTGTTGGCTATCGATCCGATTAAAGAAGTTGTGTACTTTCTGAATTCGGTAGACGGGGAATGGACTAACTATCCCGCTATGAAGGAAACTGTTGATCAGTAAGTGAGATCGTTCTAACTATTCGTGTATATTTATATATTTAATTATTTCTGTGAGATTGATCTAAATATATGTTTTTATTTTCTTAGATCAATACAAATATTTCGTAGTCAAAGGGACGCACAGGTACCCCGGAGTAAATCATCAAATATTACTTGGATCAAAGTGCAGGTACAAAATTAGTTGCTTATAATAATAGTTATGTTACTCGATAAAATTACACGACAACTATAAAATATATTCTGTTTTTCTATGCAGTGTCCGTTACAGAATAACGATGTAGATTGCGGATACTTTTGCTTGAGGTTTATGAAAGAAATCCTTCATAAAAATCAAGTAGAGATTCCAAGCACGGTATGGATTTATAACTTAGAATAATTTTGTATGATTTCTACATTTAATAACATCATGCATATACTGAAGTAATAATTTCTTATGTAGTACTTTGATGACCTCTATACTATGTCGTACACGAAAGTTCAAGTGGAAGAAGTCAAAGAGGAAATATGTCAATTTTATGTTGAAAACAGATTATTCTGATGGGTATGAATAAAATATTATTGTACGTGTTAGTTTGATTGTGTTGGAGCCTTTAATATTGTTTGTTTAATTTACCGTGTTGTTCATATTCATACTTTGCAGGATGACGACCGTGTCGGTGGAGCATTATTTTCGATGTAATTATATATGATTTAGTTACATATGTATATATATATGGTTACAAATTAACACGATACTTTGTATGTGATTTAGTTATGGTTACAAATGTATATATGGTTACAAATTTAGTTATATATGATTTAGTTACATATATATAGATAAGGATTGAATATTATATGGTATACCGGTTTCTGTTAATATAATACCGATTTCTTAAAATATATGTATAGATAAGGATTGAATTACAGGTTAAATTATTGGACCAAAAAAAAATTACAGGCCGCACAGGGAACCTCAAATTATAGGTTTCACTTTAAAAAAATTGTATGAGCTACGAAAGCGCTTTTGGCTAAAAAGCGCTTTCGTAGGCAGGATAAATAAAAAAAAAATTAAATAGAAACCCCCTATCAAAGCGCTTTTTATGGAAAAAGCGCTGTGAAAGACCCCCCTATCAAAGCGCTTTTTCCATAAAAAGCGCTGTAAAAGCCATGATAAATAAAAAAACAAAAATTAAATAGAACCCCTATCAAAGCGCTTTTTATGGAAAAAGCGCTGGGAAAGACCCCCCTATCAAAGCGCTTTTTCCATAAAAAGCGCTGTAAAAGGCCTGATAAATAAAAAAAAAAAATTTAAATAGCACACCTATCAAAGCGCTTTTAAAAAAGCGCTGGGAAAGACCCCCCTATCAAAGCGCTTTTTAAGGAAAAAGCGCTGGGATAGGTCCACCTACGACAGCGCTTTTGGTCAGAAAAAAGCGCTTTCGTAGCCTACGCCAGCGCTGGCTACGGCAGCGCTTTTAAGCGCTTTTAAAGGGCAAAAAAAAGCGCTGTGAAAGCCCATTTTCGTAGTAGTGATTGTATATTAAAAGCGTCGTCTAAACTATAAAAAACGTTGTCTGAGGTCTTTTTTGGAATAGTGAAAACAAGACTTCAACAGAGCTCCTAGGATCTACCAAGAATCACTTGATATCAAAGTTGCCATGTTGTACAGTGATGACTAGAGGCTCATTATCATTATGGTTAACTCTGTTGGAATCCCTGTCAGAAAAGGTGATGTTAACCTCTATTTCCCCTCGTTCACCCTTGGAAAAACCAGGAGATATCACATTTTCCACAAGCACCTGCCTTGCGTACTTTCTTTGGGAGGAGCTGGAACTATCTCCATCAGTGAAACCTCTATTTATTGTGTTTGTATTGGAACATAGAATTTTGTCGGTCATCTTTAGAGGCAAGATGAAAGGAATGAGAATGAAAGAGGGATGACCGATTAGTTTTATTGGGGAGTCATTGTACTGGTAAAAAAATACAGGTGTGCATGATCACCCTACAAGAGGAGGGGATACTCAGAGACCTTAGTAATTTTATAACAGTTTGGGGTTGCTAGGACTTGCCCATGGCGGCGAGAAGCCATGATTTAGAGATTTTACAGTGGTTTTAGGTATCTCAACATTGTGCTTTGGGTGTTATGTATAAGTTATGTTTCGTCTCTCACATGCTAGAGATGAGGTATTTATAGAGGCTTTGGGCTTAAGATTTCTTGGGAAGGGTTATCATCCACCTAGTCAATGAAGGACCGTTGAATCCATATTTCTAATGGAGATGTGGACCGGCCATTGACCTTGATTTTTCTCTGCCCAGGGAACTTCTTTTTCTATGGTTTCCCATATTTAGGAGAGAGAAAAATATTTGGGGCGAGACGATACCTCCTTGAAAGCGACATGTGGTCGTCGCCCTTTCTGAAGTTGCATAACTCTTGTCTCCGCCAGGTCTTTTACAAATATAACAGATCACTTTCTTTAGTTGTTTATGATATTTAGTGAATAATTGTTCTTATGAAATTAATAAAACATATAAATTTTGAATCCATATATGTTATATTTTTGTTTCAGCTTAGCTTGTTTTGGTTTCAAACTTTTAATTCTGATTTCATAAATTAAAATGTTTTGAAAATTTATTTATTAAAAGAAGAAACGTCTATTTAACCTTCTAGACTATCTCATTCCCATATTCTCACTCAGTAAGCTATATAACCTTCATCTGATACTCCTCTAAGGCGATTGTATCTTCTAAAATACATTTATCTACTAGCTTTAAGAGACCTATATTCATGTAGGATGGGCATCAACCTAAACATGAACAACATTGATAAACACTGTATAATAAAAAATAATAATTAATACTGAAAACAAAACCAAATTCATTTTAGATAAACATGTTTTGTATGTCTAATCAGTAAAGTTGTGTTTATTTTCATATAAAATGTTCAATAATTATTTCAAAATATTGTATTTAAATATATTAATTGTATCAGATATTTTTGTTTTATATATTAGGCAAATTCATTTGACTTTTTAGATTTTATTTAAAAGAGTTTCAATATTTTCTAGATAAATAATAATATTTTTAAAGTGAGAGAGGTATAATATTAATTAAGAGTTTCAATAAATAAAATTAATTCAATTACACAAAATTTAATTAATTTGGGGCATGTTGAGTAGATCAATTGATATCTATTAGTTGACTTAAGTGGTTGTAAATTGTTTGTCTAAGATTCAATTTATAATGATAATATTTATTTATATTTATGTATTAATATAAATAAAATTATTGATATTTTATAAATCAATAAATATAATAAAAAATATCTTTAGATTTACTTTATTTAATATCTTTGGTCAATGACTTTTACAATCAAGCATTTCATTATATGTTTTTTTACAATTATTTTTATAATTTTTTATTTTTCCTTTTTTTATTCAATAAATTACCTTTATCAAAAAATTAAATATTTTAATAATATATAAAAATGTTCATGTATTTTTATGCTAAAATCCTCCTATAAATGTATGTTTCCTTCCTTCAAATATCAAATAATACTCAAGGTGAAATGTCTCAAATTACGCAGAGAATTATATTGCTATGTGTGTTGATGTTATTATCAGTGCACAAAATGCTTGCAATTCATGTCAATATTATCAACTCTTTAGAAGATAATTTAAATCTAACTGTTCATTGCAAATCCGCAGATAATGATCTCGGAGTTCATGTTCTGCATCATCGTGAGAATTTTGGTTGGAGTTTTGGAGTTGGTGTTTTTAAGGGTACATTATTCTATTGTGGCTTTACATGGAATGGTCAATTACATTGGTTTAATATATTCAAAAAAACTGATAAAGAAACATCTGATTGTACTGAATGTGAATGGCATATATTTAAATCAGGACCATGTCGAACCCTAACTTCCAGTACCACATCTTGCTTTCCGTGGAATAAGAACAAATAGAATGAGACTTCTTTTTAATAAATAATGTTGGCAGGATATAGAGAAATCAATATATTTTCTTTAATATCTTTTGTAGAACTTCTCATTAAATATAATGTCTTTAATATCTTTTGTCACATTTATTAACACCAAATATCGTTATCCTGTCAAAAAAAAAAATCCTCCTTTCATTTTTTTAAAGTAAAATTTACAGGTTTATGTTTATTCATTTGATTATAAATTTTTTCTATTTGAATAATATAAATGTATTTCTTTCGATATTCTTAAATACAATTATTATTTAAAATGAGATTTTTAAAAAATAATTTCTCTTTCTCTTCTCCTATCCCCTTCTCTCTTTCTAAATTTTTGTTTTCAAAATCAAAGGATTCAATTTAAATGTTACAGTTTTACCAATTATAAGTTGGTTTAATAGTAAATTGTTGTTTTTATATTTTTATTATTTTGAAGTTTTCGTCTCCCTATTTTAATATCTGATTAATTGGTCTCTCAATTTCAATTTTTTTTAAAATTTTAGTTCTACGATTTATAATAATAATAATAATAATAATAATAATAATAATAATAATAATAATAATAATAATAATAATATTCAACATTACTATTAAAAATAATATTATTTTTAAATATTATAATTATTTATCAACTTAATATAAATTCAAAGTTGTCATAATCAATGATGACAATCCTAGACAAAATCTTTATTAAAAGCTTATGTGGCAATCTAACAAGTTTTCTTTAAAACTCTTCATTATCTTCATTTTTTTAAATTTAATTTTAAAAATAAAAAAATTATAAATTAAATTCATTTTTATAATGACTAAAATTTTAACAAAAACACTACAATGATGTTAATATATAAAAAAGAAGAATTTAATTTTAATAATCACTAAATATTAACTAAAAAAAAATTTAGGCACATTTTCTTAGGTATAGTTTATGTTTTTTTTTCAATGAAAATAAGACAAGTGTGTAATTTCCTCTTATAAAAAAATAAATTATTTTTATGGATTTATAAATTTTAAATGTCTTAATTTAAAAAGTATGTCTAATTGAAAATAAATAAAAAATTGCCTAGGTAAGAAATAATATTCATCGATTAGATTATTATATTTAAATATAGATATTATTAGAAATAAATTAGAAAATTCAAATTTTAGAGTGATAAATAAAAGAGATAATGTTGGGTAAATTTTGATCTAACTAATTAGTTAATTTCTTATTACAAATTTTAATATTATTTAAAATGATATTATAGTATTTTAGTCTTAAAATCTTTAAAAAATATTCTTTTTGGTTACTATCAATAAAGTTTATAATAAACATATTACAAATATTTATGAAAAATGAAGTAATTGAAAATTTATGTAAAATAACAAATAATTTTATTTTTATTTGATTTTTTTATTGAAAAATGTTTTCAATAATAATTACTAATGTATTTAATTTTTAGTTTTTAGTTTTTAATGTTATCATTATTATATTATATATTAGTTACAATTTATAATTTATTTTTGAAAAAAATATTAGTTACAATGTTTTAATTATATTATCTTTTTAATTTTTGAAAAAATTAATGTTTGAAAAATGAAGAGTTTTATGAAACGGTCAATTTAATGAAAATTTAAATTCTAAATTCAGTTACACGGGTATAAATTAAACTTAATAATTTGTGTTTCCAAAATAAATTCAATCAAGATATATGTGATGTTTAATTTCCTACCATATTATTTTATTATTGTGAAACCGGTTGGTTTGTCACACTTTCTTCCTTAAATAGGTAAATTCTTTTTACTTTTCATCTCACATGTATATTTTAGAATTTGATGCATAACCTGATAAAGCCTAGAATGAATGAGTGGATTAAAAAAGAGAATTGATTTTTTTATCTTTATCTAATCTTTGAAGTTTCCAAATTTTTTTACATCTATTCAAATCAATTAAATGTCCATATTCTTGCATATAAATTTTATTTTATTATTTTGATCATATTCGAATTTATTTCATAAATATTATTTTAATCATATTCAAATTTATTTTATACTCATATTTATATTGTGAAATATTATTTTCTAATTATTATTTTGCAAGTTTTACAATTTAAATGAGAGTCTAATTGACCTCAACTCTTACGAACAACAATCTCAAAACGAAAATTAAAATATACATCTCTTTCTATCATTTGAAGTATCTAAATTTTAGAAATTATAATGCATATATGCTTATGTTAAGATATATTTATTTTTTGTATTGATATTTCTTTATTTTTGTTTACTTTCCTTCCTCTTTCTTCACAATTCTAGAAAGGTGCTGCTTATGTTTTCTTTCAGATATAATTTTTTTTTCTATAGTATAAATTCTAATTATTATTTTAATCATATTTTATACTCATAATCATTTTTATATATGTTGTTTATTGTTGTTAAAATTATTGGAAATCCACTAAAATTTAGAGAGAATTTCTATCAATCTTGATGAACAAGATTATTATCAATACACAAAACAATGAAAGAAAGAAAATTGAGGAAGAAAGAAAATTAGGATTTGACGAAATTGAAAGAAGATGATGATTTTCTGCAGAGTAACTCTCTGCCCACAAACTGTGGAAAATTTTATTCACTTGCAACTGCAAATTTATGAATACAAGTTGTATCAAATAATAGGGGTTACTCCCTCTATTTACAGGTTAGCTTTCTTCTTAATCCAAAGTCTAAAACACAAAATCCCAAAATATCTATTTTGGTCTAAGTCAAAATCCTGTGTGAAATAACCTGCTTCGTTACTTCAACATCTAATACAACTCGACACACTCACTAGGCTAATTCGACACACCTTTGTTCTATCGAGCAACATGTTGTTTGTACACAAGGAATTGCAACTCAACACACCACCTAAATCATTTTGTATAAACTATCTACGTTTATCATAACTCTTAGTCTTTTGAACACTTTGACATGCACTCCCTTTGTCATGATGTCTGCAATCTGATTCTCAGTTATGCAGTGTTTCAAGTTCATCTTCCCTTCTGCTACATGCTCTCAAAGATAATGGAACCTCATTTTGATGTGCTTGCTTCGAACATGTGTTATCGGGTTTTTTCCAGATTGATAGCTAAAATGTTGTCGATCTTCATGGTAATTACTCCATGTTTCTTCCCTGTAATCTCTTCGACCAAGTTCACCATCCATATTTCTTAACATGCACAAATAGAAGCAGCTATGTACTCTGCTTCACATGATGACAATGCCACTACTGGTTCTTTTCTCGAACTCTAAGCAACTGGTGCACCACCTGGCATAAACACATAGCCATCTATGTATTTTTTATTCTTAACATCACTACACCAACTTAAGTCGGTGTAACCCACTAACTTGCATTCTTTTCCTTTACCAGCTACTGGAAACATAATGTCATAGTCGAGAGTTCCTTTTGAATACCTTAGTATCCTCTTCGTCGCTGCTACATGTGTTACCTTTGGATTTTACATAAATCTACTCACCATACCTACAATGTATACTAGATCAGGTCTTGTGTGACAAAGCACCTTAATGACCCAATAAGTCTTCTATATTGGGTTGGATCGACATCATCTGAATCAGAATATTTTCACAGTTGCATTCTTAGTTCAGCTGGTGTCGAAGTCGATTTGTATTCTTCCATCTCAAATCTCTTGATTATTTCACTTGTATATCTTCTTTGATGCATCATCAAGTCTCTACCACTCTTGTAGAATTCGATGCCAAGGAAATATGAAATGTCGCCCAGATCAGACATTTCGAATTTCTTGCTCATTGGTGAAGCATAAAAGTGGCAAGCAAAAGTAAGTTATTAATTTATGGGTGATATTTAGGTTATATTGTATTGTGTCCATATAGATTGGTGTATTGAATTGTCGTTCGATAATCTCTCGCGTTTGTGAGTTTGGGTTAAAATGAGTTTCAAGTAAAAGCGGGAATTTAAAGTTATTAACAGGAAAAGAATTCATTCTTAGGAGAAAAAACTTATCAAGCATACATATAATTCACTCCTCACAAATTTAAACCTATCCGCAAGTTATACTCAACCTACCACACTCATCAATGTCATTACCTGTCAAACATAACACCCACTATATCATCTCGGTGGCAATCTCTCAACCAACCTCAACAAAAAAAAGGTCAACCGTGCTAATCGTGTCAACAATCTCTCAAAGCGACACAACCAACACATGCATTAATCACAGACACCCAAGTGAATAATAACACTAAATATATCTATAGAATCTAGACACCATTAGATAATCATTATATATAATAATTCGGGCAGTATATATCTATAACAACCCAAACCCCAAGCACAGAGCAAAAGTCCAGAACAATAATCAATAAAGATTTATAAAGCAAGTTTTATACAACGTCATGGGCGACAAATATACACGAGTTTAAAGTAAATACATATACAAACCCAACCAATAGAGAATACACAAGAAAGAATAGAAATAAACCATAAATCTCCCAGTTTGTTAGCACCGATTGAAGAGCAATTCACCCTGGATCATCTGTATGCAAGCTCTATAATTGTTATCTAAGCTAATCTACCAAAAAATGAGAGTGATGGAATTTGAGAACAAATACACCCCAAAAACCATAACCTAAAATGAAATGAAAATGAAGTTATAAAACAAATCTCAGTAGACAGCTCTTAGCGGGCTGCACGATATTTACACACTAAACTACCTAAACCGCGCTATTCGCGCTAAGCGGGCTCAAAAACTACACTTCTGCCAAACTTCACAAAATCACTCATAGCGCGCTACAAAATTCACTTAGTGCAATTTCTTGGACATAAATTTCTCAAAAATGATCTTTTATTCCGAAAATGCACATCTGGAGCAGTGTCTTCGACACCTTATTCCTCGATACTCCAAATATGCGACAAATACCTACAAAAGAAGTAAAATCTATCAAACATTACACAAATGAATTAAAATCCCAAATATATAAAAACTAAATGTATTTACA